AAATCCTCAATGGCAATCAAAGCAAGTGAAAGACAAATAGAGCTATGTTTGACAACATGTAAGAAAACATCATTAAAATCAATATCTTGCACCTAACTATAGCCCTTTGCAACCAACCGTGCTTTATATTTTACTTTATCATCCCCTAGAATGCCTTCTTTTTTCTTGAAGACCCATTTGCTTCCAATAATTTTCTTGCCTGGAGGTGGTTTCACAAGAACCCAAGTATTATTCTTGTGGAGAGACTCAATTTCTTCATTCGTTGCCGCTATCCACTTAACAGAATCATCACGCTGAATTGCGTCTGAATATGTAGATGCTCACTGTCTCCCCCTATTTCTTCTGCAACAGACAATGCATATGCGACCAAGTCTATATACCACTGTGGAGGTCGAGTGTCTCTACGTTGTCTTCCAGTGTCTATGGAATATGGCTCTTCTTATGAACTTTCAATTTCTACTGATGTCTGCTGAACAGAAGAGCCTAGCTGGGGAGTGCTAGAACAACCAATTTCGAACTCTACTTGCTTTTGTGTATTCTCACTTGAACTAAATGTTAGACAACATAGCCGTTTCATCAAAGGTAACATCTTTATTGATTGCAAACTTTGGAGATTTGGGATCGGGACACTATAATCTATATCCTTTCACTACAAAAGCATAACCAAGAAAAATACATTTCTTAGCCCTAGGCTTCAATTTTCCTTCATTTACATGCATATATGTTGAACACCCAAAAATCTTTAAGTTAGAATGATCAGCAGGAGTACCTGACCAAACTTCTTCAGAATTTTTTAAGTTGAGAGCAGAATTTGGAGAGCGATTGACAATGTAGGCAACCATGTTGATTGCTTCAGCTAAAAAATCCTTAGTCAATCATCTATTGGAGATCATGCATCTTGCCTTCTCTAAGAGCGTTTTGTTCATACATTCAACCATGCCATTTTGTTGAGGTTTAATCCTGACTGTGTGATACTGAACGATTCCTTCTTTCTTGCAAAACTTAATGAACTCCCATCCGCAAAATTCCAAGCTGTTATCGGTTCTTAACCGTTTGATTTGTTTTCCTGTTAGCTTTTCAATCAAAACATTCCACTATTTGAAAGTTAGAAAAATATCATTCTTATTATACAAAAAATATACCCAAACCTTTCTTGAATATTCATCAATAAAAGTCGGCATATACCTGACACCACTTTTAGATGAAACACGAGATGGGCCCCAAAGATCAGAGTGGATATAGTCAAGTGTACATTTCGTATTGTGAGTTGCTGGTGACTTGAAGCTCACTCTTTTCTACTTTCCGAATACGCAATGCTCATAGAACTCCAATGATCCAATACTTTTTCCACAAATAAGTCCTCTCCTATTTAAAATTCCCAAGCCTTTTTCATTCATATGCCCCAATCGCATATGCCATAACTTGATGATGTCAGATTCAGAAAAAGAGGATGATGAAATAACTGGATGCCCAGTAATAGTCGTCCTTTGAAAAATATACAAGCCTCCAGATCAGATACCTTTCATAATCACGATAGCACTTTTGAAAATCTTCAAAACATCATTTTGATTCGTGTACCTGTAACCAAGTGCCTCAAATGTCCTAAAAAAGATTAGATTCTTTTTCAAATCAAGGACATGCCTAAAAAGAGTAAGTGTCCTCACAATGCCATCATGCATCTTAATACAAACAGTGCCCTTACCCACAACATTGCAAACAACATTTTTACCCATTAAGAAAGTTCCTCCGTTGCTTGAATCATAAGTAGCAAATAAATTTCTATTGGGACACATGCGATAAGAGAATCCTGTATCCAAAATCCACTAATGTGTAGATCGCACCCTATCATGAGTGACAAGAAAAACACTACAATCGCTATCATCAGCAACGACACTAGCTTCAGCGGTGTTATCTTTCTTTTCAACTGATTTTCCCTTTTGTTTATTTTTCAATTTAAAGCAATCAACTTTAATGTGCCCCATCTTATGACAATAGTTACACTTCATATTTTGATGTCTACATTTTGATCTAGATTTACTGTTATCATAGTTTCTGTTATCCGATCTTCCTCTAGCATCTAGTCTCTTAGCATTAACCCTAATATTTTTTCCAGTAATATCTCTATCTATTTACTCCTTATATTTCAAGGCAGATTTGATTTCTTGATAAGATATAAATTCTTTTCCATAAATCATAGTATCACGAAAATTCTTAAAAAGATTGGGGTAATTAGCACAAAAGTAGCAATGCCTTATCCTCATCATCTATCTTAACATCAATATCTTCCAAATTCATAATAATCGAATCAAAATTATCAAGATGGGAGAGTAATGATGTACCTTCTGTCATTCGAAGCATATAAAGTCTTTGCATTAGGTACAAACGATTCTCAATAGATTTCTTTATGTACAAAGCCTTAAACTTATCCCATATTTACTTAGCCGAAGTCTCCGTAGCAACTTCTCGCAAAACCTCATTAGAGAGAGTTAAGATAATGCTCGAACGGGCCTTCTTATCCAGCTCCAAAATTTTGGACTTCTCCATATCCTTGGGCAGTTTTTTAGTACCCTGGATAGCCAAATCATTTTCACCTTGGACCAAAAATGGCCTCCATCGTGAGCTGCCACATCCCAAAGTTGACATTTCTGTCAAACTTCTCCACTACCGTCCTTGTGATTGTCATTGTGTGGTAACAAAATATTCCCACAAATATACCAAGGGCTCTGATACCAATTTGTTAGGAATATGGCCCTAAACAAATATTTGCAGAATATTAATAATGACAAAAATACGAACGAGAAATTTAAAAGATACAAGGATATACGTGGTTCGGTCAAAATGACCTACATCCACGGGCAAAGGCGGAGCAAACTTTCACTATCAAGAGAGAATACAAAATAGGCTAGAATAAAAATTCTAACATCCACAACTCTCAATCTCCCAAAACACCCTTAAGACAAAATAAGTAACCTACAAATATATATTGAAAGACTACTTGTCTAATTTTTTGTGTGTTTAAAATTCAACCCAAGACTCCCAATTTATAGGGAAGGACTTATTGCAAATTTGTCACCACAAACAATGTAGAACAATAATTTTCTTCAATTTAAAATACCCCAATGTGGGACAAAGCCATATAACAAATACTTGTACAAGCAGATTGCTTGTAAAAAAAGAGAGAAAATGAACCAAAAGAAAAACAACAAGATGGTGAACTATGACGCTGAATCAACCCGATGTGAGTAGCCCAATTTGAAGTCCTCCTTAAAATCACTCACAACAAAAGGTACTCTGCAAGCAAGTACATTTACTCTCTCACATAGCCTAACTACCCCTAAACCTCTCAAATCTTCATCCTCACCAATAAATACATCTACCCCTAGCCACTCTCAAATACTCTACCCTTCTACTAAAAAATTAAACATGAATGTAGTAATTCAGGGTGAAATCAACTGGAATTCTAAACACGGGAGTGACAGGTTTAATCTTTTTATGTGCAGGAAGGAAGCTTACGCTTAGAACAGGAAGTTCATTGCTTGCTATTACTTTCTAAACCTACTTATTTTTCCATGAATGACTATAACAAACTTCCATATACTTTTGCTAACTTATTGCATGCGTATGATGGAAGTTCATTGCTTGCTATTACTTTCTAAACCTACTTATTTTTCCATGAATGACTATAACAAACTTCCATATACTTTTGCTAACTTATTGCATGCGTATGATGATGTTTTTCCTGATGAAGTTCTGAGATTGAATTAGTTCATCAATTCTTTTTTTCTTTTTGCGTTTTTCATATCCCGACTCATACTTATTTTTAGGAGGTATAATTTATTCTATTATTTGTAAATTGTAAAAAAGAAGGAGCAATAAAACCTGGATTGAAATCCTCTCTACCGGTGTTGGACAAAGCGCAGCTGGGCACAAGCAACCGAATGTGTCGCATGTCCTGCAATCAATAAACCATAATCTAACAATTTATCCCAAAAACTGAATTGAAAAAATTACTGTATTAGAATTAATAGATGAGAGAATTAAAATTATTAAATTAATCCATACCGGGAAAAAAAAAAGAAAAAATGAAGGCACCAAGGCGGCTGGTGGCTGTCGTGGTGTCGCTTGTCTGTCTGTCTATGTCGTTGAACCGAAGGAGAAAAGAAGAAGATGGAGGGGGATTGTTTGTCTATCTATGTCGCTGAATCGAGGGAGAAACGAAGAAAGAGTGGGAGGGGGATTTTCTGTCTGTCTATGTCGTTGAACCGAGGGAGAAAAGAAGAAGAAGAGGGAGGGAGATTGTCTGTTTGTCTATGTCGTTGAACCGAGGGAGAAAAGAAGAAGAAGAGGGATGAGGATTGTTTGTCTGTCTATGTCGGTGAACCGAGGGAGAAAAGAAGAATAAGAGGAAGGATGATTGTTTGTCTGTCTATATTGCTGAACCGAGGGAGAAAAGAAGAAAAAGAATGAGGGGATTGTGAACAATAGCTGGTCGGAAGGGAGAAAGTGAGAAGAGAAAGTGGGATTGTGAACGCGACCATTGAATTTGGGATTAGAATTTAAAAAATAATTTTAGAATTAAAATTAAATTAAGTAATTATGGATAAGAATTAATATAGATTATAATTTAAAATTTAATTTTTTATATATCTAATAATATATTAATATTTTAAAATATACGTCATTTTTTAAAGTTGAGCCATGAACGGTCGCTCACTTTGCTCCTGCTAATAGCTGCCCCGACTATAATGGTGTTTGTTTGATTGATTATATAATACTCCATCAATCATAATTATAATGGTGTGTTGAGTGATTATACAGTAATGGTGTGTGTTTGATTGATTATATAATACTCCCTCCATCATAATTATAATGGTATGTTGATTGATTATATAAACAATTTTTTTTATTGTTTATCATTTTTTTAATAAAATATATATATATTTTATATATTCTAATTTTGGCAATAATTTGAATGCTTCAAATTATCAAACGTCGTCAACATAGACAAGCATTTTCCATTTCACTTAACTCAACAATCAACCCAACACCGACATATAAATACACACAGGATCGATCTCGACAAGAAAGTGATAAGCGATTAATTACGTACAAGGGTGGAATAATTCAGACATGGCTCTTTATAGAGGAGCTGTAGCCAGTATCATAGTACTTAGACCACAGCATAACGCCTCCGTACTTGCCGGAATCCTTGATCTCCGGCAGGACCTGCGAGGTCAGATCCCCTGCCGGAACAAACCCACTTCCAGCAGCCTGCGGCGAGGCCGGCAGGCCCAAGAATATCTGTCCAGCGGGGACTGTATTCCAATCCTTCCAGGCCTTCTCCAGGCTGGCCATGCCTGAAGAGTACTGACACGGCGGGTTGTTGTAGAACTGCACCCACACGTAGTCGAACAGTCCTGTCTCCAGGGCTTTCCCCACATAGTAATCCGGGAAAGGGCATTGCGGCGCTGCCGTCAAGTACACTTTCTTCCCACGCTTTCCATAATTAGAAAGGTACCTATATATACATATATAAGTAAATTGTATAATTATCATCTTTTTAGTTAGAGGATGCATATATATATATATATATACAAAATTGCCCATAACTCCCTTTTGGTTTCGAAACTCGGCGTCAATCCTCTTTTACTTTAAAAATTATATAACGCTCCCTTATACTTTAAAAAACGTTGCATGAAACCCTTTGCAGCGTAAATTCCCTTTTTACTTAAAAAAAGTTGCACGACATCCCTTATATTTTAAAAAACGTTACATGAAACCTCCGCATCATGCAGAAAATATAAATAGAAAATCATCTTCTTATTACACAAGGGAAGTTTCATGACGGTGGGATTTTATGCAACATTTTTCAAAGTATCAGGAGGCGCCATGCAATTTTTAAAGTATAGTAAAATTTTATGCTGAATTTCGAAAGCACGAGGGAGTTATGAACAATTTTAAGTGTAGGTTGTAAATATTTTATAGTTTGAGGTGATGGTGCGGTATGGTGCGTACCTTGCTAAATCATCCCAATAAAGATTGGTCCCTCCTTCGATGTCAAAGTCGATGCCATCCAAGACAGCCTTGCCCAAGGGGCGGTTCGCGGATTTACCTCCCAAGAAATTGTCCCACAAGTAGGTGGCAACTTCCCTGGCATCCTCAGTGGAGTTGAGGTAGTAACTGCCTGCGCCCCCTCCGATGGATAGAATAACTTTGATGCCTCTGGCCTGGCAGGACTCGATGTCGGAGCTGAGGCCTGTGCACGCGTTCGAGTAGGGGTCACAGTGTCCGGCCAGATTGATCATGGGGCTCTGCCCATTCCCAAACGTCGGGAGAAAGGCTATGTTCACAAATTGGTAGTTCCCGGTGGCGCAGGTCTCCGCCAATGTGCCCTCCCCGCCATTCTGGCCCCAGTACACTGAGATCTTGCCGGCATGGGCATGGCAGATGGATATGAAGAAGCAGAGGAATAATGAAAGAGGAACATTAGAGGCCATTAATTAATTGTTGAAATTGAACATGCAAGGGCTATTTTCTGATATATCTCATGTGTCTAAGTGCGTGTATATATATAGAAGAGGGAGCGCGAAAGGGTTAAAAAAGGCTTCCTTCTTTGGAGGCAATCAAATCAGTGGTCTTCTATTAAGAATGGAATGGTAGAGTTCATCTGCGTGTAACCTCTGCTCGCTCTGGATGTTCCTGAATTATATTCTTGACTCTTAATTTAGTCTCTCTTACTTTCATGCATGAGGGCAATCATAAATAAACATATATACATATATATATATATATAATTACCTACAAAAAGTACCTAACAAGAGGTAACATAAAAAATACTTGTATTTTGTATGATAAATACACAATTGTCTTAATCACAAGCTCCTGAAATTAAAAAATAATTTTAGTTTTGATAGTATTAATTCTGTTTGATTTTTTTACATATATAAATACAAATAAATTTACAAGAGTCGTGCCGAAAAAATATATAATCGCAGGGTGTTATGATGTGCACTACAAAAAAAATTACAAATTACTATGGAAAAATTTTGTCACAACTGACAAAATTTCCGTCACAATTTTCAATTATAACGAAATTTGCATCCAACTGAAAATTGTAGTAAATATTATTGTAGTAATCCAATGTGACAACTAAGATTTCCGTCACAGAAAATTGCCACGTAATTAATGACTGTCATTTCCGTTGCAACATTTTGCATTGCAAGAAAATATAATTGTTGTTGATTCCGTTGTAATTTTTTGCAACACATTTTTCAAGATTTATATATGTTGCAAATTCTGTCACAAATAAATAAAAAAATTACGAGGAAATATAAGTATTGCTAATTCCGTCGCAATTTCTATAGCAGACCATTTATTCAATTTGTTTCTGCTCATTTTTTTTTTTTATTTTTCCAAAACCTATATGAAAAATATATATTCAATCCTCCAAAATCAACCAAAATTTAATTATTTGATTAATATCTCTCATCAAAGACACAAGTAGAATTTTTAAACCTAAAAAGTGTCTAATACACTATAGATATAATGTATTTAGTATCAGTACCATAAGAAATAAATACCAGACAAATGTATAAATCTGTTTTCATCCGCCATAATATCATAAAAAACAACTAAAGTCATAACTATAAAAAGCATATAATAATAAAACATCATGATATTGGAGCACTACTACCATCTGAATCGGGGTCGAACCTATAAATGAATGGTGCTCTCATACGCCGTAATTGCTCTATAATGGGCAAGATCAAATTGTATATGACTTGTTGGTTCTCCATATTTGTAACTCACTGCATCATTAAAATATCATTATAAATATATATAGCAAAAAATAAAAATATATTAATATTGCATATAGAAAATTCTATCCAAGAGACTTGAATTTTTTAATTATTTCTTAATAATAGAAATTCTATATAAGCAATATTTCAATGTACAAGCACTCAAAAAAATGAAAGAAAAACTCATAATTGATATGATATTATAATAATTTTTTCACATTTTTGTTTGAATTTATTTTTTTTTATGAGAAGCAATATTATTTTTTCAATGCATAATAATATCTAAACATAATTTTGTAGAATAAGTCAAATGATAAATCATACTGCATGTGCTATTCATAATACTTAACTACTCGTTTAAAATAATTAAATTATTATTTTTAAGGTGTTTGTTGCACTATTCAACTACAACATTTACAATTCCAATCATATTCAATTTTGTGCTTAAAATTATCAAATATTTTTAAGAAATCTTCAAGATTAAATATTAAGATGGTATGATGAGATTGAAATCAAATTCTGACAATTAAGAATGAAAACAATTTATTAAAAGAGACAAAGAATTAAAGGATAATTTGGTTATATTATAGTAATATAACTCAACATCTACATCCATAAATCCTAATAACAAACAATTTCGGGGTGTTGGATGATCAATACTTAAATGCATCTGAAAATCGCTGCCCTTAGCCCCTTACATTGGCAAAAACCCCCTACATTGGCAAAAATGATCAGTAAAAAATAACTCCTCATATTCAGAACAATGCTAGCATAATGCAAATCTGCTTTTCTATACTACTATGTTTAAAGTTTCTAAGAATGGGTATCTCTAGAAAGATAATAAAATAAGCAAACAAAAGTGAAATATAGTTATAAGTCATCTGAATATAACTATCGAGCAACAAAACATTTTACCTGATGAAGCAAGGCAAGTGTGGAATTGTACAAGTTCAACTCTAGACTGAACTGCTTCTTGTACTTCATTACTCCATCTTTTAACTATCTCTGGATTTGTCTGTTCCAACAATTGTAGTAGTATTAACATGACATATTCCCTCCAACTAAAAAAAAAAAGCATTTATCCAAAAACAAGGAGTACCTGTAGCAGATGAATACCACTCACAAGGGTAGCACTGTAAACAACATAACTTTTGTAAACTATAGCCTGTTTTAGGTATCTCTCCATTTGGTTCAAAAGTGTTTCATCAGTAATTCGGCAAAGTACACCAATAACATTTCCTTGATACATATCAATGCAGTTATTCATGTCCTTCATAAGGGAGCTAGTGACAATTATAACCTGTAAAGTCAAATATAAGATTTGATTCTTCACCTGTAGTAGGAAATTGAAGAATTCAGAGGTATAAGATGTGCGAAGATACCTTATCTGTAGAAGGAGAAAGCTCTTTTATCATCAGATATACCATTCTTTGTAGCGAATTTGAATTAGACAAAACAATGTTGATCCTGTGACCAAATTTCTGGAAGTATTAGCCTGCAAGAAATGAGAAGTCTATTTACCAACATAATTCAATATATTTAATCTTGCAAATCGGAAGAACTGACATTCAAGAACATTAGCTCCAAATGTAGCAAATGACTCCATTCCAAAACGGCTCAGATGTGTTCCATAACTTAATCCACTACTCTTTAAATTTGCCTACCAAATTAAAATACACGAAAAAGTTATAACACAAGCTCCAAATATAGCATATGACTCCATTCCATTATAACTTCAATAATTCCATCGGGATAAATATATATATATATGAACCTTTTGGATAAACTTGGATATTGACTGACCATATTAGATGCTGCAGCAGATACCTCTGCATGCATGGGCTGAGAGAATTTGCAGCATCTCTCCCTGTGCTTCAACTTCGCTAAGAGAACTTTGTACGGACCAACCATTGGAGAGTGAATGATGCATAGTTACAAAGCCAGGGTCCATAGAGGTCATGCTGCAATCAAATATAAAAAGTACAGAATCATTTTCATTATTATGATAATTTATCTAAGAAATTGGGATATACAACATAACTCATCCTTGAAAGCAAAAACGAACAGCTGACCGGTGTAGACAGATTATGAGCATGGTGATCTCTATGTTAAATACAATGTCCACAAAAGATGAAATGACTGCAAAGCAAATAATAAAATAGTTGAATGAAAGTACAAACACAAAGCAGCAACAACATCTGGCATTTGCAATTAACTTTGAAAGAAAACTAAACAACCATGTCATTCAATTAACAACACAATGGAAGATAAAACAACAATGATTGCACCGAACAACACATTCAGCGTCACATTTCCACAACAAATCGACACTTAGCTCGAGAATTTCAGTTTTAATGTCCAAGTGTTGCACTAGATCCTAAAGACTATATAAAATCATAAATTATGGATTTTTGCTCACCCCACTGCCAATTTATAATGGATTTCCAGTTATCCCAAAACTCTCCGAATCAACCCTATATAAACCCCTTCACAATTCACCAATCTATCAATCAAAATTAGTGAAAATGGAGGCATAGATAAAATACTCGTTCATCCTTGGATTCCTCGCCATCCTTGGCATCAATAGCGCTTATGAAGGCGGGGAGTGCTCTAGATAAACACCCGACGCTGAGGCGATTAAGCTGTACCCCTGTGCCTCGGCCGTGCAGGACGCAAACGTGGTTGTTTCCCACAACTTCCGCGCTCAGGTGAAAATTGAACCTCGCAGGTGAGGATTGCCAGCCTCCGGTCATTTTTGTTACCTCGAAGTGGCGACGGCAAGCAAAGCAGATGATCGATTGAGCTTTGAGAGCCGATCGAAGCGGCGACGGCAAACGTGGTTGTTTCCCACAACTTCCGCGCTCAGGTGAAAATTGAAAATAATGGTTCGGCATGGGTGAGTAAGAATTGGAATAATTAGTATAATTAATTAACATAATATTATTATTAATTATAGTTAATTAAAAATTAATTAATTAATAATATTATTAAATTTTGGAAAATTTGCAATGGGTTTAATTTGTTGATAATCCCATCCCAATTTTGGAACGGAATATAAGATTCCTTGTGAAATTTTTGAAATTCTGCTACTGATTTTATCTATTGCTATTTCCATAGTAATTTTGTAATTAATATATGAAAATCTGCAATAGAGTTAATCTCTTGTTATTTCCGTTGCAATTTTGCAAGGTAAGATAATATTTCTCATATAATTTCTAGAATTTTTGTGACATGTCAATTTTCTTGCAATATTCCATCACAACATATTACAATTGCGACTATCTCTTATTTACTTAGCAAATTTTGTTGCACTTTTGCAATAGATTGTATTCCGTAATAATATTCCGTGGCAATTTAGGATTTCTTTTGTAGTACGTTGTTTGCATGGACGGATCCATTTGGGGCTTTGGGGGGTCACCCACCCCCAGCCCCCGAAAATATATTTTTTAAATTTTAAAATATAATAAAATTATATATTTTTAATAATTTTTCCTCCTATTTTTTATTTTTTTTATTTTGTATAAAAATAAAAAAATTAGATAGTTTTATTGATTTGTTTTTCAATATTCAATATTTTATAATAAAAAATTATATAGTTTATATAATTACGTTAAAAATTTTCAATTTCAAGCATATTATTTTTATTCCTTTTTTTTTCCCTTCTTTACACCGTGCACAAAAAAAAATATTGAATTGATAAAAAACAAACTCTTATTTTGCCCTCCCGAAGTTTGGAGGCTAGTTTCGTCACTGGTTGTTTGTACTTTCATATGAGAAAAGCATATAATTTAAAATAAACTTTTATACTTTTGTGTATGGAATACCTATTTTGTTTGTCTTACACGAATTTGAGTCAGTCGGGACCAATACTTATTGCATATTTTACATTATAATTTAAGTATTGCTTGTATTTTTTAAGAATTATTATCGGTAAGTGATTTATTGTCAAAAGATGATTTCAAAATTGAGCACCATAGATATTAGTATTAACTTGATTCTTATTTTATACTATTGTGCTATAAACCTCAATTGATAACTTAAAGCATGTAAGCTTATATCGAGAATAAACGAAAATAAATTACAAAAATTGTGTCGAAAATATATATCATTGCAACGGTGAATTGCATTGAGTTGAAAAGAGGCTATGATGTTGTTTGTACTTTTTAAAATAAAATTTTATACTTTTCGAATTTTTTTTTTATATTTTTATTGTAGAATAGCCAATATGTGTACAAGGTGTTTTGAAATACCTATTTTATGCATTGCACGAACTTTTGTGGTTTGAGACCAATAATTTATATAAATATTTTGCATTGCAATATGAGTGTTTGTTATTATTATTTTTTTTAAGAATTATGATAATAATTGTCGTGTGATACTTTCAAAGTTAACACCATATATTTTTATCTTGTGTGTATGATATTAATTTATTAGTTTTTATGTGTAATATACAAATAAATTAAATTAATTTATGTGTTTCTTGAATTATATTTTTAGTCATTATTTATGTGCTATCTAAGTATTTAATTTTGACTAAATTAATTTTATTTAATAAGTATTATTTATTTAAATAAATATTTATAAGATTTTTATTATTTATATCAGTGAAATAATGCTTGAAAGCTGATATAAGAGTCCAAAACTGGCCTTACAAAGCGAAAAATGGCTTCAAAAGCGAAAAAACAGTCACCGGCGCGAAAGTCAACAAAAGTCAACGGTCAACACTGTAAACTCAACGCGCGAAAGTCAAAGTCAACTGCTGCGCGGAATTCAACCGGAGGCCGCGCGGAATTCAAACGGAGGCCGCGCGGAAAGCAAGCGAGCACGGAATCAAGCGGCGGTTGGTGCGGAAAGTGAGCGGCGGCTGCACAAAGTGAGCGATCATGGAAAACAATGATGGCCGCACAGAAAGCGATGGCGGCTGCACGAAAATTTGAGCGAAGCGGAATTCTATGTCCATTAATCCGTGAGCGGAGGCTGCATTTCTGAGCACAGAAGGCCATATATGGAAGTGAGCGATGGCAGCTGGTGCGGACTCCATGAGCGGCAGCTGCACAGGAGTGCGCGAGCACGGAAGGTGAGCGGCGGCTGCATTTATGAGCGCGGAAAGCAAGCGACGGTTGCAATTACTATCACTGGTCAACGGCGGATGTATTAATTGCCGTTGGTCAGCGGTGCATTTACTGCGCCGCCACAATAATTCCTGCACAGAATTTCGTTGCATTTATGTCTCATGTACTCTCAGCTCGTGCATTACTACACTCTCCCAGCTACCTTAATTAAATTCCTACACTACTTTTTAGCCAATTTTTTGCTATTTTTGTGTAATTTTTATTATAGAACCTTTTCGAAAATAGGTAGTTATTAATAATTATATTAGTAGCTATTTTTAGAGTTAGTTATTTATGGTTATTTTTAGAGGTAGTTAGTAGCTATTTTTATTGGCGGTTATAACCGTCAAACTTCTAGAAGTTTTTTCCCCTATTAATATCCCCTCTAATTGTACCATATATAATATACATTCCATACATTCATTTTCTTCATTTATTTTCTCCAATATTTTTATCTACTTTAATAATACGAGATTTTTGATTTTGTGTCGCGAGCAAACTGATTTTCTCCTCATTTTATTTAATTACTGCATATTATTTTACCTAGTAAAATTCCTATCATATTTCTCCACCTCACCTTCACCTAAAAAAAATTCCATGTTCGATTTGAATGTTCAAGTTAGATTTCGGCAAGGTTGCGGAAGGGCGATAGAAGAATCGACTATTTCAGCCATGTTTCGTATCACAAACAAATTCCGGGTAGTTCAACGTAGCTAAGTACGTGGGAGCTTTGTCAACCTGCTTAGTTGCTGTTCTGAATTCGATTCCGATTAAAGAGAGGTACACTACAAAAAAATAATATATTTGTAACGGAATTTCGTTCCTAAAGTTCACGTAGCTAACATAATTCCATTCCTAATTCCGTCTCTAATGTCATTAGTAACGGAAAAAGTAGATTTAAAGATAAAAAAAAAAAAATTGTTACAAAAATGATTTTTTCTTACAGTGGTATCAGATGGGTAGAGCCACTAGCGGAGCAGTTGAAAGAATAATTCATGGGGCATAGACAGCGGTCTATTGGGTCACAAAAATTTCTAGTGATAGTAGAGTTTCTTACTTATAATGTTCTTCGCCGGGTGTCGCTGAAGCCTCGTTGTAAATCCCCTAAGGTCAAGTACTAACCGAGTCGAGAATCGGCTTAAGCGAGCAAATGTGATCACGTTCATTCCTCCGAGCCGCCCCGCAATTATACATATATTTTTCGCTATCACGCCATCGTCATCTCGCTCATTTCATCGATGGAAATCTAGCCATTAAGGAACGCAAAAGTCAGACACAAACGCCTCGCTTCATCCTTTTCGAGATACATATATTTTATTGCTTTTTAGTTAGATTTATTTTCTGCAATTTTATCTTTTCAGTTTTTCGATTGCATTAACTTATTGCACTTTTTATTTTAATAAAATATATGATATTCGCATATTCCCTGAGTTCAACCCGGACACTCACCGGTTAAAGAGATTTATTATTTTTGATGAAGAATTTTGGAGTTACTACACGAACACGCACGACACTATTTTTATTTTATACATATATCATTTTTTGTATCTTAAAAGATATTTTTAAAAATCTCCAAAAATCTTCAATCAAATTTTGGCGCTGTTGCCGGGGAATAAGCATGGTATCTTTGTTTTAATTGGAAAATATTGAGTTTAATGCTAATTTAATTTCAATATTGAATTTTTATTTTAGTTTGAACATCTAATCCATCGGAGGTATGCTTTGTAGGTTTCGGGAGTGCAATATCCTTCAAAGATTAAACTTGGACGGCATTTATCTTCCGCAAAAAAATTTAGAAAATTTTCAAAAATAAATAAATAAATAATTGCTACAACAGTGCATTGCTCTGCGCTTTGTTTATATATATATATATACACATACATACATAATAATAGAATAATAATAATAATAATAGTAATAATAATAATAGAATAATAATAATAATAATAGTAATAATAATAATTAATATATAATAATAATATGGCGCCGCTTACCTTATTTGTTTTTTTTTTTTTTTTTCTGTTGTTTCCTTATATATATAATATAATAAATAAATAAATAATGAGTATATTGATAATATTTATTTTTTGTTCATTCCGAATTTTCAGCTACCGGTTCATTCATATTGAAAGTTAAATCCAAATAACACTGGCGTATATCCTTGTGAACAAGTTGTGATCGCTTGCAGTTGTGATCGCTCCCAATCGGTGATCCGCCTCGTTGAAGATACTCAGCCAAGTCCCAGTGGACGTAACTGCCTTCTGAGTGGGGGCTGAAAACAGAGATGAAACCACTGCGGTTTCAAGCCCCAAGCCCAGCGCAGCTAATGGATCAGCCTATTTAAGCAGAGCAGTAATCGTTTGAGCGGCTGCGTAAACATTCAACCCAGCGGCGCTCGGCTATTGCAAGCTGGCGGCACTTTCTTCTCCTCAGTGGAGAGAAGGAATAGTCATATTTCATTCCTGGACGCACAAATTCAGAAGGTAAGGATTTATCAATTTCAAGTGAAGAAATCCCCAATTTCCAACCAGCGGCACTCTATCCTTGTCATTTTAATGAAGCCAGCTCAGTGATGAAGACGCCGAGTCCATTCGCACTAAAAAAAATAATATATTTGTAACGGAATTCCGTCCCTAAAGTTCACGTCGTAATTTCATTCCTAATTCCGTCTCTAATGTTATTAGTAACGGAAAAAGTAGATTTAGAGACAAAAAAAATTTTGTTACAAAAATGATTTTTTCTTGTAGTGGATCCGCTGCAGCGATGCTAATTAAAGTTGTGAAGTTTCTTCTAAGCGCCAACCGGTGAATCGGCGGTCTGCCCAAGCCAAATAGCCAGTACTGCAAGTGAACTGATGGAGTCCAAAGCAGATGCAGCAATAAGCGATGCCTAAAAAAAAACGGCGACTTCAGCCCCACACAAGCCCTATCTCAGCGCCCTTTTTAAGCAGCGGCCATAAGCAGCGATTGTCCAAGCCGGAATTAGCAGCGCCGTTTGTAATCAGTCAATCGGTAAGCGAAGCGATGCTAGAAATCATTGCTGAGCGCTCCTCAGCAATGTCTTATTCACCCAATTTAGGGCAAAATTATATTTATTATTATTTTATTTTATTTTATTAATATTTCGGCTAAAACAAGCGAAAAAAGTGAGCGGTCTGTAAGCGAAGCCAATTTCAGGCAAGTGCAGCGAAGCGACTGTATGTAAAGCGGCATAGAGCAGCTCACCTGCAAGCAAAGCCGCGACAGCAAGCGAAAGCGGCGACTTCAGCCCATATTTGAGCGGAGCAGAGTCTGCAAGCGCAAGTGAACTGGCCGGTTTATCCAAACCAAAGGCTCAGGTCTGGCGCAAGAGAGAAAAATTAAACTGACAGTGAACCCTAAATGATTTTTCCGAAGAAATTGGAAAAATATTTATTTATTTTCTTCTTTCCTTCCCCATTTCTTTCTCTCCTCAAGTGGGCGCACAATTCTTTTTTTCGATCGTGCTCCGTCAAGTTTAAACCCAAGCCCCCTACGCCTTCAATCTCTTCCTTCCCTCCGTCATCTTCATCTCCTAGTTTCGAAAAGAAAATCATAATTTCACACCCGATTCCCTTTCAATTTCGTCCAGCCCTAACCCTAATCTTTACGGTAATTACTTCTCCCTCACCGCGATGATGAAGCCGACCACATCAATTTCCCCAATTCTAATTGTTCTGAATCCACCATCATTCATCTTGTCTAGGGATGGTAAACATCTAGGGAAAGGTTGTATTAGTCACTCAACCTTCTTTTTTGCTATTTTCATTGAATTTCTTCAACTTTTGGCATATTACTAAAATTATGAAAATTTGCAGGGCTGCGTCAGATTGGAGTACCTCTTTTAATTATGATAATTATCCTCTTATTGATATCTATTATAGATTTGTAGTTATGATTAGGATTAAAATTATGTTGGAATGTGGATTTAGTTTAGATTGGAATTAGTTGTCGAGTTTGTATATATAATTGGTATTTGATTGGTGAATTGCGGACTGTGTCAAGGAGATTTGAGTAAGATGAATTGTGAGCTTATTTCTTATGATGATTTTAGGATTAATCGATAATTTAAACAAGGCACAAACAGCCTCCAAAAGCTGATTGCGGGCTGTTTTAGATTTATTCGATTTGGAGGATTGGTAATTGAGGGCATTTGATAAAAAAATCTGCATACGACAGCTGCTGGTGGTTGCAAAATTTGAAATTTTCAGATTCATTCTATGGTGATTGACGCTGAGGAAAGAGGTGCTTTGAAAATTTTTAAGCAAGAAGACTTATGTAACTTTGAAAAGGGAGTTTTAGCTGTCTTTTTATCTCTTGAATTCTTTGACAAATAATGTTTGTATCTCATCTTTCGCTGCTGAAAATAATGTTTGGTTTGATTGCAGCACCTCCCGAGCAATCAAGTTGTTCAAGGGCGAATAACAATTCGAGTGTGAGTAGTTGCGGGAATTTTGATCGGCACCACCAAAAATTTTGAAACAGTTAAGGGTGCAAGACCTGCAAAATCAGGGAAGCTTATTTGTCTTATTGATAGAATATTTTAGCTTGCTAATTGTTTGACTGCTAACTTGTTAGATAGTAGAATATGTGTTACGTAGATAAATTAATAGCCGTAATATAATTGCAGCAGGTTAATTTTCTGATTGGTTTAGAAGTAATGATAGCATAGTTTAGCTTGTTGTGTACATAGATCGGTTAGTTCTAAGTTTTGTTCATAGCCTGCGTAACTTAGTCTTAGTAATGGGCTGCATAAATAGGCTGTTGTGATTAGCAATTAGCATAATTGGCTTAGTTGTTATTATAGCATTAGTTGTATATTGTGCATCATTAAGTTTGTTCTGTAGTTACTATAGTTTAGGTTGCTAGTTTGGTATCAATATTATTCGAATTTGTAAATGATGTAGCTTAGCTTTTTTGTAATGTAATATATTACCCCAATTCCGTTGCTTAGTTTGAGTTTTTAATTTTGTCTTGCTGTCAATTGTTGAAACCAGCTCGGTTGGTTTAACTTATTGGTTAGTCTAGCTCTGTGTTAGTTTTAGCTTAGTTCGCGTTATTAATTTAGATAATTAGCATGAATAGCCTGCTTGTTTGAATTAATGTGTTGGGTAGTTTACTTCTATGTTTGATTTTAGTCCATGTTACTTGTTTTGTCTAATAAAACAACTTGCAGCATGCCTCCTTGCTTACTTAATTAATTATATATTTAGTTAATCCGTTTAGTTTAATATTTTGTGTATTGTTAGTATTACAGTAATCTAGTCTCAAAAGTTCATATATTATTTTAGGTTTTAGTCCTTTCCCAGGCTGTTGTATAGCTTTCCTGCTGCTATTCTTTAAATTCTATTAGGATAATTGTTGTTTCATGAGTTATTTCAATCTTGTTTTTATTTATAGCAGTATAGGGTTGTTCTTGGATATTTATTTCAGTACTTGTTTGGCTTAATTTTAAAATTAGTAGGTTGTAGTCTATCCAGAGCATTAGTTTAGGATGTTGATTATGTGTATGCGCTTAGTTTAGCCCTAGTTTAATTCTAGTTTTAATTTTATAATAATGTGTATTATTAGCCATAATAAATAATATGTGCTATTAATTTATTTTGGCTTAAATTATTCATATTTATTTTTAATTTATTTTGTTTAATTTATTGTTCTCTAATTTATGGTGAATTAAATTATTTTATATTATTATATTTAGAATATTTAATTTATTTATTGAAAATAAAGTTAGCCGTAAAATATGCTATTTTCTCGAGTCAATCGATTTCCATTGTGCTTAATTTGAGTTTGAATTTGAATATTTTCAATAATTGAAATTCTTTTGTGTATAAGTATAAATCCGGATTTTGATAAAGTTGGTTGATATCTCATTCGTTTCATTTATTCCATACTTAGTCTAATTTTTAAAACTTTCATCTATTTAGCGGAGAGGATGAATTAAGTTGCCTTAAAAATGGAATTGACGAACGAATAGTGTGAGGAGGATGCCGATTATCTTTATATGCGACTTGACTTGGCAAAAAAAAAAATTGACATAAAAAATGTCGAAATTAATTTATTATCTGTAGCAATGTCTATTGGGCCGCCTTGTTTCTTAATTTATGATTTATTATGGCGGTTTATTTAAAGCTTTGAGTCGTTGCATCATTTCTAGAAGCTACTCCGAATACTTAAGTTTGAAAATATTTCGGGAGACATAATTTAGAATCTTTGCAGATGAGCAATATTGCGTAAATGACTTCAGAATTTGAACTTTAGCTAAGATTCGTTTACACACAACCGTTGATATACCCGACAATATTGAATCCTTATTCAAAAAATACTTGGTTTAATTTTATTAATTGAATTTATACGAGGACGAATAAAGATTAAGTGTGAGGAGTTTGATAACTCTTTATTTTGTCATATTTTATATCTTATATTTATTTATTTAATTATTTATTTATGTCGAATTATAGTATTATTTATGTTAATTTACTCTAATAATTGTATTTATTTCATCTTGTATGTATAATATTAATTTATTAGTTTTTAGGTGTAATTTATAAATAATTAAATTAATTGATGTGTTTCTTGAATTATATTTTTAGACATTATTTATGTGTTATGTAAGTATTTAATTTTGACTAAATTAATTTTATTTAATAAGTATTATTTATTTAAATAAATATTTATAAGGTATTTATTATTTATATAAGTGAAATAATGCTTGAAAACTGATATGAGAGTCCAAAATTGGCCTTAAAAAGCGAAAAAATGGCTTCAGAAGCGAAAAAACAGTCACCGGCGCGAAAGTCAACAGTTAACGCGCGAAAGTCAAAGTCAACCATTGCGCGGAATTCAAGCGGCGGACGCGCGGAAAGCAAGCGAGCGCGGAATCAAGCGGCGGCCGCGCGGAAAGCAAGCGAGCGCGAAATCAAGCGGCGGCTGGTGCGGAAAGTGACCGGTGGCTACACAAAGAGAGCGAGCACGGAAAGCGATGATGACCGCGTGGAAAGTGATGGCGGCTGCACAAAAATTTGAGTGAAGCGGAATTCTATGTTCATTAATCCGTGAGCGACGGCTGCATTTATGAGCGCTGAAGGCCATACAGGGAAGTAAGTGATGGCGGCTGGTGCGGACTCCGTGAGCGGCGGCTGCATAGGAGTGCGCAAGCGCGGAAGGCGAACGGCAGCTGTATTTATGAGCGCGGAAAGCAAGCGACGGTTGCAATTACTGTCGTTGGTCAGCGGCGGCTGTATTAATTGACGCTGGTTAGCGGTGCATTTACTGCGCCGCCACAATAATTCCTGCACAGAATTTCGCTGCATTTATGTCTCCTGCACCTCAGCTCTTGCATTTACTACACTCTTTTAGCTCCCTTAATTAAATTCTTGCACTACTTTTTAGCCAATTTTTTGCTATTTTTGTGTAATTTTTATTCTAGAACCTTCTAGAAAATAGATAGTTATTAGTAGTTATATTAGTAGCTATTTTTAAAGTTAGTTATTTATGGTTATTTTTATAGGTAATTAGTAACTATTTTTAGAAGTAGTTATTTATAGGGGTTGTAACCGCCAAACTTCTAGAAGTTTTTTCCCCTATAAATATCCCCTCTAATTGTACCATATACACACATATACACCATATATACACAATAATATACATTCCATACACTCCATTTTCTCCACTTTTTTTCTCCCATATTTTTATCTAGTTTAATAATACGGAATTTTCGGTTTTGTGTCTCAAGCAAACTAATTTTCTCCTCATTTTCTTTTAATTACTGCATATTATTTTACCTAGTAAAATTCCTATCATATTTCTCCACCTCACCTTCACCCAAAAAAAATTCCATGTTCGATTTGAATTGTTCAAGTTAGATTTTGGCAAGGTTGCGAAAGAGCGATAGAAGAATCGACTATTTCAGCCATGTTTCGTGTCACAAATAGATTTCAGGTAGTTCAACGTAGCTAAGTACGAGGGAGCCTTGTCGACCTGCTTAATTGCTGTTCTGAATTCGATTCCGATTAAAGAGAGGTATCAGAGGGGTAGAGCCACTAGCGGAGCGGTTGAAAGAATAATTCATGGGGCATAGGCGGTGGTCTATCGGGTCACAAAAATTTCTAGTGACAGTAGAGTTTCTTACTTATAATGTTCTTCGCCGGGTGTCGTTGAAGCCTCGTTGTAAATCCCCTAAGGTCAAGTACCAACCGAGTCGAGAATCGGCTTAAGCGAGCAAATGCGATCACGTTCATTCCTCAGAGCCGCCCCGCAATTATACATATATTTTTCGCTATCACGCCATTGTCATCCAACTCATTTCATCCATGGAAATCTAGCCATTAAGGAACGCAAAAGCCAGACACAAACGCCTCGCTTCATCTTTTTCGAGATACGTATATTTTATTGTTTTTAGTTAAATTTATTTTCTACGATTTATCTTTTCAGTTCTTCGATTGTATTAACTCATTGTACTTTTTTTTAATTAAATATAGGATAATCGCATATTCCCTTAGTTCGACCCGGACACTCACCGGTTAAAGAGATTTTTTTATTTTTGACGAAGAATTTTGGAGTTACTACATGAACACGCACGACACTATTTTTATTTTATACATATATCATTTTTTGTATCTTAAAAGATATTTTTAAAAATCTCCAAAAATCTTCGATTATATACCATAAACCTCAATTGATGAATGAAAACTTGTACGCTTACATCGACAAAATTACATGGGTTGTATCGAAAAATAAATCAACACAATGGTGAATTGCTTCGAGTTGAAAGGATGTTATTTTTTCGTTTGTACTTTTCATATTAGAAAAGCATACTTTTTTAAATAAAGTTATGTGTTTTTCGAATTCAATGTTAATACTTTAATATTGTAAAACAACCAATACTTATAGAACATATTTGAAATACCTATTTTTTGCATTTATTGTAAAAACAACCAATACTTATATACCATATTTGAAATACCTATTTTTTGCATTTCACGAATTTTATTTAGTTGAAATCAATATTTTTAATAAATATTTTGTATTACAATTTAAGTATCCTCTAAACCCAATTGTTGAGATATTTTAGATATTCGATTTTAGATTTAGTAGATTTATATTTAGATATAGTCTTATCCATAAATTAGATTATTTAGATTTGAGTGTATCGAGTCGATTTTGTATTGCCTATATATAGGCTCCTTATTTTGATGATCAATAAGACAATCTCATTATTTTTCCCCAAAATTTCTAACACCAATGAATTAAAATTTGTAAGTTTATATCGATAACAAACACATATAAAATTGTAAGGGTTGTGTCTAAAAAATATACTATCGCAATGGTGAATTTCATTATGTCGAAATGAGATTATGATGCCGTTTGTATTTTTTATATAAAAAAAAATATTTGTGAATTTCATTCTGTCGAAATGAGATTATGATGCCGTTTGTATTTTTTATATAAAAATATATTTTTGTAAAATAAAATTTCATAATTTTCAAATTAAAACATAATCAATTAAAAATACCGTTAACAAACAAAATACAACTCTCTAAATAAATTAACAAACTATAGAAAAAATAGAGTCACTCCCAATAGATTAAGAAGATAATAGTTATAATGTTATAAAATTTTGTTATTTATTACACAGACAAAC